TAAGGGAGTAGGTAACAAATTCAATATGTATGAGATTCTTATCAAGATTTTATAAGAATTTGATAAGATCCCACTTATTTCTTTTTCTATAGGTTTTTATAGATTAAATACATTTCTAAGACTTTTATTGTACATACAAGATTGAATATGTAGGATAACAGACTCTGTCAGATGTTTCTATTCTTCACCTTCCTATGATCAAAATTAAGAAGCATTATATCCAAAAGCTGCTTGTGATGGAAGTCATGAATAATTAATCTCTAACGGACATAATTTCTTGCACATTTGAATTATTATAAACTGATTAAAGAAGAACCACAACATCCTTGCCTAATAATTCTGCACCATAGCCTACATAGGTTTCCACCGTCATTCATTTAAATAAAGTACGATCCAGTGTTCAAATCATATTATATTTTCATAGATGAAAATAAAAGTTGTATACATGCCGCCTAGCTTATAACACTTCGGTATAGATACATTATTCTTGCCGACAACTTAACGATCGACTAATCATTTGGGAAAAAACTTTCGATAACTCGGTATGGATAACAGAACAAAACGTGAAACCGAGTGACGAAGGTTGGCTTATTTTTGGTACTCCACAAAAATGAACAATCAATCTACTTGAGAAAAAAAAGAGAACACCTATGCACTTTTGGGGGGTTTCTTTTATGACATCGCATTTTTTACATTAGTCCTTCAGAAGTTTTGTTAGGGAGTGCAAATGAGAATGGTATTAACTTTCTTTAAACTATTTTATGTTATAATGTTTTCATTTAACAACTGCACACTAATTTTGAAAAATACTAAGTAGATAGTATTTTGCGCCCATCAGATTGGAATAATTTTATCTTGCGAATGTGTTATGTTAATCTTTGCCATTTCTGCTGAACTAAAGCCAGTGTATATAAGCACGCATAATAATAATCAGTGAACTTCGTTCTTAGCAAAAAAACAAATATTTTAAATATCATGCTTAACTTAATGAAAACAATAGTCATTTTTGTCCTTTTTCTCATTCCCTCCTATCTGCACTTCACTGCTGCTTCTTTAGTCAGCAGCAACTTGAAGCTTTTTTTTTCTTTGTATGTTTTCATCGACATCATAGAACTGTTTTTCATTTAATAAATATATTTTGGACGTTTTTATATACTCGATAGCAATGTATGTGTTATAAACAGATCACGAGGAACGACTATTACTTTTTTGTCCCTTTTATTATTGACAAGGATTATTCTGTCAGCTGATTATATGCTTATGTTCGCATACACTGCCTTTTTTTCTCTTTTTATATATATATTTGATGAATATCTAAGTTATAGTTCTCGATAGAGTCCTCCTCATTAACGAATTATAATGGCGGCATTTTTTCTTCTAGCATTATTTGAAAAGGAGAAAGAAAAAAGAGAGAAGAGAAGACTTTTTTTCTCAATAAATGCGAGCCCTTTGTTGGCTGTACCATAAAATTTATGTGCGTATTGATGACGAAGAGAAAAGTTGCACATCACCAAAGCTTTTCTTTCGTTCTCTCTCTTGTTATACTTATGTGGTTGTTATGTGTAATACTATATAAACGGCAAACATTTCATTTGGTTATTTCCAACTTTTGAGGAGAGTTGTTCTTCTGTGTGTGTATGTGTGTGTGTGTGGTGTTTAGAATGTTTGTTCGTTGACGTGCATCTCACTGCATGATATCTGCGTGCTGCCAGTTCTCTTTCAAAAAATACTTTTCATATAAATCGAAATTTTTTTCCTGTTCTTATAACGACGTCCAAAAAATATCTCTCCTTCTGTATAGATCGACGTTGGTGATGACTGATGGCTTCTATGTGCTTGCACATATGCAGCTGATATGCCACACAAGAAAATAAAGACACAGATGTACGGTAAAGTAGAGAGAGAGAGAGAGAAAAAAAGCAATTTTTGATATGCTATATGTATTTCTATACATATAAGAGACAGTTTTTTTTCTTTTATAGGAATGTAATCAGCTGACTCGACAAAGGATTGTAAAAACTAAAAGTATAGAAAATCCCTAAAATACTACATTTATCAAATGAATATCTTACATTCTTTATAGTTTTAACATTTGTGGCCAAATTAATTGGAACAAGTGAAACGAGTTGAGCAATAAATGTTTTCCTCTGAAAACAACATCGAGTTTTGAAATAGCAGGATGAGCATTACAATAAAAATCCATAAAACATGACAGTTACAAAACCAAAAGCGCTCTACAACAGCAACAACATATCAAAGCATGCCTTCAAAATTTGAAACAGCCTATGTATATAAATGGTGTCGATAGCAGGATACTGATGTAAATGCCATGTTTTTGGATTCAGATTCGGAGATACTGAGAACGATTTAGTAGAAAATGATTGGAGATTAGTTGAATGTAGATTAAAAGTCTCATTACCGTTTCGATGCACTTGTATCCAAATGGATGCGAAGAAATTTTCATTTTGCACATAATATGGTGCGCAAGCAAACATGGCAAATCATGATGCAACATATGGAAAACTGACACATAATTAAAGCTTGAATTTACGTGTAATTTCAATCAGCAGCATTTACGATGAGCTCGATTATTTAATAAGAAATAATTTATATAGAACTTTTAACTTTAGGTTGATCATCATAAATGCTAATTACGAGAGGAGAACCTAGTAGTAGTCATGCACACTTCATACTGAAGAAAAAAGCGGAAATTTCATATGTAAGCATTAATATTCATTTGATACATGTACCTTATTTTTTCGCTATAATATTAAGAGAATAGTTTGTTTCCAAAGTTAGTCTTAAACACGAGTGCATTGAACTGGTAAACAACAGTTCTTACTGAGCATGAACTATTTGTAAAGTTCACCTTTTTTGACTAAGACAGTTAAAATTTCAGATTTTTTAAAAACCGTTGCGATTGACTATTATTTTTCATAGATTTCAGTACAGCAATACTGCGTAGTGTATTTACGATAGTATCTAATATTAATCTTTCTTGATACGAAAAATTGTTTTGGGTGTTTAGTCACATTTTTCGTACTATTTATTACAATTATTACATTTATATCAGGTGGGTGTTTTTTATGTGAAACAGTAGTGCATATCCAGTGGCATCTTCGATTTTTGCTGTTTTCTGTTGTCAAAATACAGATGGTGGTTGTCGTATCGTCTGCAATACTTTATGTATATTTTTTGCACAAAGCATACGAATTTGTATGAATATTCATCTTTCTTTACATCTTATAAAGAAAATTTTTTTGATTCTGTAGTACATAAAACGTCTTTACGATGATTTTATATGAAATTTCCAAATGACAATTAGTTTTTTTTCTTTTCTTCTGCCGATAGATGTCTGCACTTTCTGAGTGTCCGGGAACAATAGCGACAATCGCTAAATGGCTATAATTTGTAAATTTTATTTACGTGTCGAGAAGTAGCAATATTCAGCTTTGAACACGCTCATTAGTTAGGCTTAAGTAATGTGTGGCAGAATCACAATAGGAAATGCTTAGTATATTATATCACAACGAGCAATTTACTGTAAGGTGATGTCAGTGAAGATAGAGATTAACAAGTTGCTGTCATATGACAATCGTGAAAATGGATTTAATATCTTAGTTGTTTGGCTCTAGCAAATATTTATATTATTCTTCCTTATTCTAGATACTAAACAAATGAGACCAAATGAGCAAATATGCATGGTTGTCGTCATACAATTTAAAAAGGTACGTTCAGGATGTCGGAACAAGATAGAGTCAACAAATCCGTTTTTAAGTTCAGAATAAAGAAGTCAGTTAAGAAAACACTTTCATCATGATGAATATTTAACATGTGATATGACTGAACAATAACATTATATGAAGAAGAGAAGAAGTTTAACACGCATGATCGTGAAAGGTTGTGCTCTTTCAATCTTTAAAGTGCTGTAGAATATTGTAATAATTGAGAAAATTGTTATTTCGACATCCAAAAACGTAGCTTTTTAAAAGACGATAACCATTGCAATCATTTGTAGGAGTTTTGGTCATACAAATGAATAGACTAAGATTCTGTATCACTGAACAACTGGTCCACAATAGTTCTGAGAGAGAATTATTTTAGTTTGCTTGGCAATACTATTCAACTAATTGGTAACAGTATTTCTGTAAAAATACAAGGTTTATGTGACAATCGTCATAAAAGACGAAATTCTTGCATACTGTGCCGGATAAAATTACTGGCTGGATTATTTCTGATTTTTTTCTCCATCGTGAAAAATAAAAGAGATTCAAAAAGTGATCTGAACACCTGGAAGAGTTATCAAGCAGAAGATATATATATGAAAGTTCCACTGGAATTGTTGAACACTGAGCCTATCAACAACCAAATACTTATGGATTCTACCGGAAACTTTTTGCAAACAGCTTAGTCGAATGCAATAAATATTTCTAGAAAACATGAGGCACCTTCGAGATCTCCATCTCTCTACCTTTGATCGAGAGATAGAGCCTCATCAAGGCCTCTGACCGTCAAAATTTGAAAAATCGATACAACAACAGTATTTTCACGATGGAGAAATAGTCTGGTCAGTCGCCACTGTACTGACACAGCTGTGTGCTTTTTCTCTAAAGTCTTGAGTCCCAAGAACCTGATGGAGTTTAAAGAAGTTAAGATGAAAGCCGACAGGCCTCCTCGTCTCATCTTTGGTATGGTTTATTTGGTGGTGTGGCTCTATATACTCTTTATTTGAGCTCGAAGAAGTATTCACATATACTAACTTATCATTCTGACCGCTTACCTTTTGAGAGTGCGTATAGAGGTTAGAATGCATCGAGTAATAAACTCTGAGGCTATTTACAATCGATGAAAAGTCCTGTACGTTATTATATTTCTGAAACAATATTACATTTAATCGTTCTGTTTTGTTGTCAGAGTGCACTTCTACCACTAAGAGCACAAAAGATGAACTTGACCAGAACAAGCTTTGACTATTATTTATATTCAATTTACTTTTTCAGATGGATATACAAACAGCTCATCAACTGGAATATTTACAGCGATCTGTTCAATTATTGATATCGCAACCTTCCGATGTAGGGGATCAGCTAGAAAAGCTTATTGATGAACTGTTCAGTGACAATAGGCAGTTAACCGACAAAAAGGTATTGTTTTCTCATGTTCGTCTATACAATAATTGCAACTAACATGTATTTTAGAAACTATTTGATTCGTCTTCATCGTCAGAAAAAGAAAAAATTGAAGCAACTACGTCAGATAATTCATCGGACAGTAGTAGTAGCAATTCTCAGATATCGAACAAAACTACTAAGCAACAACCAGTATGTTGACAAAATAAATCTCCTTTTTCATCTCGTCTATTTCTACTACATCTCTTTTTACCTTTTTTTTACAGAAACGCACATCTTCACCACATAATACAATTGCAAAACCGGCTAGAAAACGACTGAAAATAACTGACAATAATTACGCAGAATTGACACCAATAATAGTTGATACAAAGCTCAAGATTTATACGAATGAAACGAGTGAGGATGAAGGGGGAGGACCAGAATTAAAAGAATCCTTGTCAGCTGCAGGACCAGTAACTACAACAACGACAAATATCAGTTTAAAAGATGAACAAGCAATAACGAATACTACTAATAATCGGAATATAGATGAATTTGCCATCGAAATGGGACTTGTTTGCAACTTATGCATGTATGTAAACACTTACATTCTTCTGTTATGTAACTCAAGGATTTTTTACTTTATTTCTAGGGTGTTGACAGAAGAAGTTGACAATAAACTTGTAGAGTGCCACGAATGTCATAATAAATTCCATCAAAAATGTCATAAACCAAATGTATGTACCAGCCAAATTAGTGATCCACGTTGTGTATGGTATTGCACTAAGTGTCGTCGTCTATTAGCGAAACGAGTACGTGTTTTTTTAATCAATGTTATTCTTTCAGGCTTTTTTAAAAACGATATGGTTGGTTGTCTTATTTTAGCAACAACAACAGCAGACGAACAAAGATGGAAAAAATGGTGTGCCATCGACCTCGCTGACAAAAGATCCAGTCACATCGAAAGTCAAGAGTGATACAGGAACAAGAAAAGTGTTGAATGATGCATCACAATTATTCAACTTTAAACCAAAAGTAGCGCATTTTCTTTTCAAACAATCTAACCGTTTCTATTTTGTTTTTCTCATTGTTTAGTCCTCAGATACAAATAGTAATTTAAATAATCAATCGTCGACAAATGGAAATCAACCATCTTCATCTTCGGTTTCTGGATGGGCTGGTTTAGCGGCTAATCTTAAAGAGAAAAAACAACTATCAGATAGTGATACAAACGGAACTTCATTGACAAATTTGCCTCAAATGACTACACCTACTACACCCACATCATCATCTTTAATCAGTCTGTCAGATTCTACATCGAACAATGTAAAAGATATTTCATCCCTGACTACAACCAATAGTAAACGTTCGCAATTTAATGAAATACTCGGACCAGTTAAATCTCCTACTCCGCCGATCACATCCTCTTTATTAAAATCACCATCATCATCATCAAATATCATTAACCCATTAACAAAACTAACCACAACTCCGTCGACTACACAACTATTAAAAATATCCTCCACTAATCATTCAGCACCAAAAAATCCAACGTTGAAACCTCAACTATCAAAACAACTCGATAGTAGTTCTACAGTCATAAAAACATCCAATTTATTAAAAACTACATCAAATAATATTTCTAAACAAATAAAACGCTTAAGTTCTCCGACACCTCTTGGTCGTACATCACTTCATAATTCAAATATTAAATCACCAACTACTCAACGTACAACACTGAATAACAATGGTTATTCACGTATGAATAGTACACCCTCTTCTTCCTCATCATCAACTACAACAACACAAAAACAAATAACAGCATCAACCGTAGCCAAAATTCAAAATAGTTATAATTGTGATAAACGACTGAAACAAATGAAAAAATTAGCTCAAGAGTCACGATTAAAAAAATGAATTTTTTTTTTGTTTGTGTGTGACTCTAGATATTTTTTTTGTAAAACATTTTTGTCTAAAAGAAAACTTCGATCTGTGTAACAGTGAAGTATTTATGAGATACAACCACAAATTTTCTTTTCTCACGGAACACTTCAAAGAATATTTGTTACCTTTGTCTGTCTCTCTCTCTCTCTTTCTCTCTCTCTCTGTGTTTCACTCTCATCACATTATAAGTTAAAATTATTTCAACGGTTCTTTTTTTTTCTCTTTTCTTTTTCATTTAATGTTTACCACACTTTTTTTGTTTCCTTTCGGTTTTCATGTAGATGTGTGCTGAAAAAATAATTCTGTTTGTACATGTTTGGGGGGAAAAAAGACAAAAAAGAAATGGGAAATAGAAATACTCAAAGTGAAGAATATGTGCATCATTTTACATCAACATATAATATTGAAATTAATCATTTACGTATTTACTTAGCAATGATTTTGTATGTCACTATACTTTCTTTTAGATAACTCGATGAACTCTTGTATGATTCTGTCGTACACGATGGAAAAAATATATACGTTTTCATACAAAGAATAGTATAAGAATTTGATATAAGAATATAAGAAACACTGTATATCTACTACTCTGGGTATTTAAAACTACAAATTTTCTTAGCTGATCAAATAGTTTAAGGGTTATTTAGACAGTGATTTTTGTGAAAATTTTCATCTTATTTTTGATATAAAAAGACACTTGGTATTTGTTTATTGAGGATATTTATCTTGATAGTTATTCACTATCAGTTTCTAGATGTCTTGATATATTTAATATAAAAGTATTATACTCATTTTCTAGTTCATAAGTGATACAAAAAAACATTCTTCTATATACATCAGAGGTTAGTACAGATACATGCAAAATATTACGTACAAATAATTTAAAATTTGACGCCAATAGTAGATTCCACAAATAATTGTGCTTCAAAAGAAAAATGATGTATTCCATTGAAATTTCGAATAGATTACAAATTAAACTCAGAAAAAGGTTTGATTATTGCAGTCATCTTTTAGTTTTATACAGCGTGTTTTGTTTTTTCTTTTGATCGATCGCGTTTATGTAATATAAAACTAAGTATTAAAGTCGCTACGATTGTTAATGATGCGACTGTTGTTAAAAAAATTCTCTGTGATTTAAACCAAAGTGGATAACCGGGTATCATTATATCGACCATACAAAATGCTTGTAACGAAACTAAAGCACATATAAGAGATAAACGCCCGGGTAGCACGAGTGCAGTCCAAGCAGCTATTGATGGTAGAATACTCCAAAAGTACTGTTTCCACAGTATCGACGTTGTATTGATTGTTGTTTCTTCTGAATTCTGCGGATACAAATTAGCTCCCCATCGAATTCCTCCAAGGTAGGAAATTATTACTGAACTATAGGCTAATTGAGCATAGACAAGTTCGGGTAAATATATTCCCGTAGAGTACATATAAACGGGAACACTGACGAATGGTATCAAGCCAGCGAGTCCAAAAAACAATGGTGGAGCGGGTGTACTTGTCAAATGTTTAAGGAAACGAAACTGATCAAAATAGGAAAATGATTTGTCATCTTGATACGATTTGATAATTTTGTTTTTACTATCTTCAACATACGTTCGGATAGATAATAATTTTGAATATTTTAATAAACTAGGTTTATTATTAGAGATGTGCGGTAATCTTGAATATCTAATTGGAGATGATATGATCATCAAGTTTTTCAAAAAACATGAGCAAGAGGTATTTGTATATAATAATCTTGGATTTGGTTTTATCAAACGTAGTAATATATTAGATAGGCTC